CTATCTATCTATCTATCTATCTATCTATCATCTATCTATCTATCATCTATCTATCTATCTATCTATCTATCTATCTATCTATCTATCTATCTATCTATCTATCTATCTATCTATCTATCTATCTATCTATCATCTATCTATCTATCTATCTATCTATCTATCTATCTATCTATCTATCTATCTATCTATCTATCTATCTATCTATCTATCTATCTATCTATCTATCTATCTATCTATCTATCTATCTATCTATCTATCTATCTATCTATCTATCTATCTATCTATCTATCAATCTATCTATCTATTTATCTATCTATCTATCTATCATCTATCTATCTATCTATCTATCTATCTATCTATCTATCTATCTATCTATCTATCTATCTATCTATCTATCTATCTATCATCTATCTATCTATCTATCTATCTATCTATCTATCTATCTATCTATCTATCTATCTATCTATCTATCTATCTATCTATCTATCTATCTATCTATCTATCTATCTATCTATCTATCTATCTATCTATCTATCTATCTATCTATCATCTATCTATCTATCTATCTATCTATCTATCTATCTATCTATCTATCTATCTATCTATCATCTATCTATCTATCTATCTATCTATCTATCTATCTATCTATCTATCTATCTATCTATCTATCTATCTATCTATCTATCTATCTATCTATCTATCTATCTATCTATCTATCATCTATCTATCTATCTATCTATCTATCTATCTATCTATCTATCTATCTATCTATCTATCTATCTATCTATCTATCTATCTATCTATCTATCTATCTATCTATCTATCTATCTATCTATCTATCTATCTATCATCTATCTATCTATCTATCTATCTATCTATCTATCTATCTATCTATCTATCTATCTATCTATACATATATATATATATATATACAATTCCATTAAGTTGAGCAACTCCTTATTATTTTAGCTTAATTAGAAATGTGGTGAAAACAGGGTTTTCATTCAGAAGCTGAGAAAGTAATTATGTCTCAGCTATGATGGGCTAAAGCAAAGCCCAAGGGGCACCATTGATATTAAAGGCAAGGAGATAGAGAGCGAACAAGCAAATGGTCTTTGGAGGAAAAGGTAAGAAGTCGGTTTTAAAAGAGAAATTCTACAGAATCAAACAGAGTTTGTTTTAGTGTGTGTAACATAAACATGTCCTAAAGCAAATGCAAATGAATTCACTGTGCACTCATATGTCACAAATGTACTCAGGATGAGAGATCCCATTTGTTCTCCCTGCAGATTTAGTCCAGGGGGACCCTACAGGCGCTGGCGGGGTCCCACGGCAACATGCCATGAGGGAATACGAGAGGACAGATAGGATGGAGAAAAGGAAGTCCAGAAAAGGGAGGGAAATGTGAAGAAGGGAAGCTGGAGAGGCCCAAGGCTTGAGCAAAACATAAAGTGGTGAGATAGAATGGACAAAAGGAAGAAACCCAAAACAGGAGGTGCAGGGATGGAGGACGTGGCAAGAGACAAGATAAGAGTGAAGAAAGGAGGAGAATGACAAGGGAGAAGAGACAGGTGAATACAAGTGGAAAAAAGAGGAAATAGCACAAGGGACGAGTGAAAAACTAATGTCACACCATGGAGATACAGGTGGAAAAAGGAGAGCCTTTAAAGGTAGGAATCAATAGAAGAGGTGAAGGAAGGATGGAGAGATGAGTAAAGCAAAGGGGTGGAGGAAAAGAGCTGTGCAGAGAGGCATTCGAAGAAGGAGAGCAACCTTGTGAAGTCTGTGTGGGATGTGCTGCTTTTGAATGTAGAGAAAGTAGGAGATTTTCTTAGTGAGCAGAGGGGACGAGCTGGAGAGAAAGGTGGAAAGATGGCACGATGGCGAAAGAGGGAAAGAGAGTGACGGAAAAGATGGAGATAAAGAGATGGAGTCAAGTGAAAACAAGGCAGAGAATGAGCGACGGTTGTTCAGCAGCATCTAAACGTTGCAGTGAGCTCTGTGCTCAATATGGCCCTGAAGGCTCACCGCCTCTGCTCACACACACACACACACACACACACACACACACACACACACACACACACACACACACACACACACACACACACACACACACACACACACACACACACACACACACAGACACACACACACACACACACACACACACACACAGACACACACACACACACACACACACACACACACACACACACACACACACACACACACACACACACACACACACACACACACACACACACACGTGCGTCATGCAGAGAAGGGGGAATATCACATCTATCACCAGTATTTGAACAGAAGACTGCATGCGTGTGTGTATATACTGTTCTGTTTGCTGCAGATCGGGGAGGTGGGTGGGAGTTGAATGATGGCTCTGAGAAGTGTGTGGGTTGGGGGTGTCTGCAATTTCATGCTCGCGGAAAAGCAAGCATTTCAAGCCACCTCTTGTAAAAAACAATAAATGGCTGTTTTGAATGTTTTTATAGATGTCTTTTTTTGCACATGTATTTCTGTGTTTTGTTCCAAAAGTGGGCAGCAGGAACTGATAAAAATGCACAAACATGCCTCTTTGTCTGCCGCTAGTTGGTGTGGAGCAATGCCTGTGATCTACCAGATCACCTTAACAATTGGCAATAGTGTCAGCTTTATTTCCATAGCAACCAGAGATGAGACTAGATGAAGAGAGCTGTGAATGGAAACATTCTCCTAACCGCGCAACACACTGCCTCGGCGCAACACACCCAACTGGCTGTGAAAGACAACAAAACAGCCCTAATAACAGCAGCAACGATGTCTGTTGTTTTTTTCAAAATGCAATAAGAGCAGCAACTACTTCTGTGTGTCCAGCTTGGATAAAAATTCAACTTTGAAAGCCACACAATAAACATGCATGTTAGTGGAAAGGAGAAAGAAATGAGGAGTTATAGTTTTCCATTTCAGACTGAGAGCACTGCAGATGGTGATGCTGCAGAATTTATTCTCAACATTAAACTCCACTTCACCCCAGCTTATTCTTCACATACTGTAGGTGCAAAGATGTATACTGTAAGTGCACATCACCACGACAGACCGGTACGATGCCCGCATCACTGCAGATGCAGCACCAATCCAACTATCGATCTCACGCTCCAGTTTTCCCTCACTCGTGAACAAGACCCCGAGATACTTAAACTCCTCCACTTGGGGCAGGACCTCATCCCTGACCCGAGAAGGCATTCTACCCTTTTCCTAATCAAGACCATGGTCTCAGATTTAGAGGAGCTGATTCTCATTCCAGCTGTTTGACACTTGGCTGCGAAACACTCCAGCGAAAGCCGAAGTTCACGCTCTGATGAAGCCAACAGGACCGCACCATCTGCAAAAAGCAGAGACCTGATCCTCAGGCCATCAAAACAGATGTCCTCAACACCTTGGGTGCACCTAGAAATCCTGTCTAGACTCTTACTCTTTCATGCTTTTAGAAAACTGAGACATGTGGGTGTTGGTGGTTTACTTGCATATGAGTTGCTGCATAACTAGACTCACAATCTTGGTGTTTAGAGCCACGTAGCTTCAAGTTACTCAACCATCAAAAAGCAAATCTATCTATCTATCTATCTATCTATCTATCTATCTATCTATCTATCTATCTATCTATCTATCTATCTATCTATCTATCTATCTATCTATCTATCTATCTATCTATCTATCTATCTATCTATCTATCTATCTATCTATCTATCTATCTATCTATCTATCCATCCATCCATCCATCCATCCATCCATCCATCCATCCATCCATCCATCCATCCATCCATCCATCCATCCATCCATCCATCCATCCATCCATCCATCCATCCATCCATCCATCCATCCATCTATCTATCTATCTATCTATCTATCTATCTATCTATCTATCTATCTATCTATCTATCTATCTATCTATCTATCTATCTATCTATCTATCTATCTATCTATCTATCTATCTATCCATCCATCCATCCATCCATCCATCCATCCATCCATCCATCCATCCATCCATCCATCCATCCATCCATCCATCCATCCATCCATCCATCCATCCATCCATCCATCCATCCATCCATCCATCAAAACGAATGTTTCAATGCATAAATGAAGATGTGGAATTTCAAAAACAATCCTCTTCTGCTGACATTTACCGTCCCACTCCATCACTGCCTCATCCCTCTCTTGCCCCCCCTCCTTATCACTTTATTCCCTTTCACCTTACCCCCAAAACTCTCTCTTCTCGTTTTAGTCTGCCTGTCAGGCTTATCTGTAAGCTTTTTCCTCTCCCCATTCCTCCATGGATGGTGCCATCCCCCCTCATTCTTCCCTCCATCCCTAGTCGTGCTCCCCCAGATGTCCCACGGCAAAGCTTGCCATGTTAATGTTGTTTGTCTGGGTGTTTTGATGTCTGCTTCTGGTCATGGTTGGCGGAGGAATAAGCACCTCTAAACCTGTGTCACTCCCTGAGACGCAGCAGTTTATTTTAATGCTTTCTTTGTGCGTGATCTGTCAGTCAAGCCAATCCTCCGTCTCCCCTTTCCCAACTCTTCAGAGACTGACAGACTGGCAGCCCGCTATAGGAGCTATTATAACACACACAATCTCATTAGTGCAAGAGAGAAGAATATGGCTGACGGATTAACTGCAGCTCTCATTCCTCAAAGCAACTTTGTAGTGTTGCATCAATTACGCATGGGTAATAGGTGTCAATGGCAAGCTGGCTCTGACAATATGTAGCAATTAAATGGATTTGTTTCAGCACTTTTTATGTTCTGTTGCTGAGGAGAAGAACAGCAGCCATGTGTTCATTAGAGGCCTGCTAAGTAGGGACAGCACTAACATTCCCTGTCCATTTCTTCTTATCTTGTAACCTTCCTCTCCAGCATTTACTTCTTTTTTCTCTTCATCCACTTTCAGCACCTTATCTAGGACTCAACACTCTCTTCGGCATTCTCTGGCTCTCTTACCTGTGAAGCTGACATTAAGAATGTAATCCCTGTAGAGTCTGCGCCCGTCCAAGGCCTTCATGCTGTCACACAGTTTGGTGGTGTTGAAGCACAGGCTCCGTTGCATATGATGGAGGGCATGAGCCATGGCGTACACCGCGTTCACCACAAACATGATCTTGGACTCTGGTTCGAAATAGCCTTTGTCCATTGACAAGTCTTCGTCACATGGCGGGAGAGGTGTCTCTCTCAGAGCCAGCCCTCCTAGTCCTAAAGAGCACTGAAAGCGCTGCTCCCAGAATTCCTTGAACCATGGATTCCGGAGGTTTTTGACTGGGTTCAAATTGAGAAAGTAGCGGTTGAAATCTGCTATGGGGTTGGCCGCCAGCTCGAGCGTGATAGCTCCTTCGGCGGTAACCTCGTTTCCCTTGACAATGCTTTCCTGTGCACCCCAGCCATCACTGGCCACCCAAATGAAGGAGGTGTTAAGTCTAGCTGCAGCTGCAATAAGCTCTCTGGCATCATCGCTACGAAGGAAAAGGACGGCCACATGGGCATTTGGCTTCTGAAGGAGCTGACGGATCACAACCTCGTAAGACTTCTTAGCGTTTGAGCGACCGACCTAAGAAAAAAGAAAGATATAATTATTTTAGTATAAACCATCTAACATTTATCATAGTTTAACTCCCTCTAAAAAATAAAACACTAAGCAAAATGAATAGGATGCATATTGCTTTTTCAGCCACAATCACACCATATTTTCTCTCAGCTAATTTTGATGTTGCATCTGGTTCTGTCAAAGTCAGCCAATGAGTTTTAGCACAATGAATGTAGTGGTTTATGCAACATTTGGCTTAAAAACACATTAAGGCTCACAAATTTGCATCTCCCTTGTATGGAGCAAGAATTGGGACAGAATTACACGTAACTTGTACCAAGTTTTGTAACTTGTATAACATGTTTTGTAACCAACTTTCGATAGTTCACATTTTGTTTCATATTTTGTAATACGTAACTTTCGTTGTGTAACACATGTCCTGTCTTGGAAATAGTAGCCACTTCTCTAATTATTGCAGCTTTATATTATTATTTTATCGTGAGTATTTTCTTACTTCCCCCAGCATTTGCTTAGCCTGGCCTGCCAGACTCGTCCTCTGTTTAATTCTGCACAGACAACGAGTCTGGTTACTCACAGGCAGAGAGGCACATGAGGGGCGGGACTAGCCAACTCAAAAATAACCAGTCAGCAAAAAGACGTAAATGCCGACTGTACTGCGCAACGCTGTAGTTTTTTAGCTGTAGTCAAAAATGCCGTCTGGCAACGGCGCAAACATCTTTTTTTCTTTTTAGAAGAAATGCTTTTAGCGCTTCTACTTGTTGTGGTTTTAAAGACATTCAAGTCATTTAGATCAGAGGAAAAAGCCGCAGCAAACTCCGCTGCTGTCTTCGTTGTTTTTTAAGAAACTGAGTGTCGCTGTGTGTGATGTCCACAATGCTGTAGTTTTTTTTAGCTGTAGTCAAAAAGGCCGTCTGGCGACAGCGCAAACATCTTTCTTTAGAAGAAAGGCTTTTGGCGCTTCTACTTGTTATGGTTTTAAAGACCTGTTCACATCATTTGGAACAGAGGAAAGAGCCGCAGTGAACGCCGTTTCAGTCGCCATGTTTATGACAAACTCGGCATTGTGGTGTGTGATGTATGCTACTCAGCATTGATTGGTCGGTTAGAATTCTCGGGGGTGGGGTTATCTGAATAGGAGAGTTCCCAGACCCTTTCTCTGTGCAGAATTAAACAGAGGAGGAGTCTGGCAGGCCAGGCTAATATTTGCTTATCTCCTATTTTTATCTTTTTTTTTGCAGCAAGTACTGCTTCAATTTAATGTTGTGATTTCTCGCACATATAGCAATAAAACCTTCTAATTTTGATAATTCTTGTTATGGAACACGTAACTTTCGTTTTGTAACATGTAACCTTCAGTACATAACAACTTTGCGTGTTTTGAGAGTTGTGATTTGAAACTTGTACATTGATTTGTTTTCTGCAAGTTACAAAATGAAAAGTTTTACGCAAAAGTTATGTGACAGTTAAGCGATTAAATGCTACAAAACAGAAGTTACGCATTACAAAAATGAAATTTACGTGTTACAAAATGAAAGTTTCATGTTACAAAACTTGAATGACATGCTACAAAATGAAAGATAGTAACAAAACATGTTACAAGTTACAAAACTTGGTACAAGTTACATGTAATATTGCCCCAATCCTAGCTCCATACCTTGCAAATCAGAAGATGATATTCCCCAAGTTAGAGTCAAGAATGGGACCTGTCTCTTCCACTAATCACCTTTTCTGAAGTGGCGATACAGATGTTCCTCATGCGTGCCTCCTGCTCAAAAGCCTCTATACCAGTTTCACCGTAATCGCCCTCTGATGCAACAGTAGACACGTACGTCCAGTTAAAGAAGCGGAGGATCTCGGCCATGGCTTTGGCCTGGTAGAAGTCAGGAGGGACTGTTCGGGCGAAGTAATCGTAGCGGGTCTTGTCGCTGAGCTTTGCACTTGTTGAAGCATAGCTGATCTGAGGGATCTGAAATAGCCTGAGTAGATTGGCAACCTGAAGATGGAGAGAAATGGACAAAAAAATAAATAAAAAACAACAAATTTTGGTTAAATAAATCCAAATGTACACCATGTACATCAACATAATTCAATGTCGTTGTTTTCCACAGCCTAATGTTTCATTTCTTGAAGATTAATGAATGCATGCATAAAGATATAAAAAGCATATCACTACAGCTGTAACATACGCAGATTGAAGACATATGCTATTAATAAGCCTTGCTGTGCAAGACAGCATTAAATTTCAGACTGATTGCAGTCACAGAGCTGCTGTAGTAGATCACAGACGTTGGTGAGGTGGCGACAGCTGAGCCAGTTTCAGCTCATTTCATTCATCAAGACATTTGAGGTGTCGTGAAGTGTCACGATAAAAAACAACAACACTTATTTCTGTGTAGTTTTTTCTCTTCAGTTTAGATTTAATAGGCTAATGATTAAATAGTTTCCATTAATTCTTTGTTATCTACGTTTCAGTTTCTCAAACCAATTAATGTGATACTTTTTTTTAAATTTAAGGAACAATATCATTATACTTTTCTTACAGAAAAAAAACTCTGGCACACTTGGAGGAACAATATTGTAAGAAATACAGTATTGGCATGTCTGACAGTTTGTACGAGTCTGTTTTTCTTCTTTCAGTTACTTCACAAAATAATTTCTAAATGTGTTCTCATGTAGCTCTCACTTTATTTGCCTGACCACTCAAGCAGTTTCCTGTTATTCACATTTTCTGACCCACAGAAACTAAACTAGGCCAGTGGTGTCCGTTTATGGTCCTCAGGAGCAACTATCCCGCATGTTTTAGGTGTTTCTCAACTTCAACGCACATCATTTGAATTAATGGGTGAACAACATGCTTCTGTAGGACTTGGAGGATTCCTGAGGAGTAAATTCAACTGTTCACGTTAGAGCTTAAACCTAGAAACATGCAAATGTGCAAGATAGTGGACTTTCATGACTTGGACTGGACATCACTGGTGTGGTGGGTTTGTCACACAACTGAAGACAGGATACCTTGAATCAAGGTCTGATTTAGAATTTACCACCGGGATTGGAAGTTAAATCAAAGGGAAATCCTACAGGCCCCTTCAATCACAGTTTAAAGAGCAAGTCACCCCCTACAAGAAACTTACTCCACTCCCACTTCATGTTTGAAAAATACAACAAAAGCTGTTGCCTGGCAGACTGAGAGGGCGGAGCCGCTAACAAATACACACACACACACACACACACACACACACACACACACACACACACACACACACACACACACACACACACACACACACACACACACACACACACACACACACACACACACACACACACACAGACTCACAATAACATTGTGACATCATAATGTACTAACTAACGTCATTGAGTATCTCTTAACCTCAAATTTAAATTCAAATGTAGTGCAGACATTTTACCTGACGATGGCACAACATGACAGTTTTAGGCAGAATATTTAAATTTGAACTAAGATGCACTAAAGTGTCAAATTATTGACTACATGTGTCTACAGCACGGTTGGATAATCATGTATACAGTTTATCAGCAAAAAAAAAGGTTGATTTGGGGGTGACGTGCTCATTTAACTGTATTATTTTCTGCAATTTCAGCTGTTAACTTTATTTTCTCTCTAAGTGTTTTTTTCCCCAGAAGAAGCTACAGTGATGTTCTGCTGAGCTGTGGTGGCCTCATGGAGGGGCCATCGTCTAGCACACTGCTGCTAACCACTTAAACATTCTCTCTGTCCTGATAATAACTTTTTGGTTTCCTTGACTTTTGATGTGCTAATACTAGTTTATCCGTTTAATTATAGATCCACTAGGATACATACTAGGATAAATACAATAAAGTTTATCTCTCACCAAATAGAACATTTACTGAGAAATCACAATATAACTATAGACACATTACTTTGTCTTTGTGTGTGTGTGTGTGTATGCGTGCGTGCGTGTGAGTGTGTGTGTGTGTGTGCGTGCGTGCGTGCGTGTGTGTGTGTGTGTCTGGTCTGTTTTCTCAATCCCCAGTGACTCGTGGAGGATGGCTGCTTATACTGAGCCAGGATTCCCTGGAGGTTTCTTCCTGTTAAAAGGGAGTTTTCCTCTCCACTGTCGCTTTATGCTTGCTTAGTATGAGGATTGATGTAAAGTCACTGACACTAGTCAGTGACTTGATGCAATTTGCTGGGTTCCTTATATAGGAAACATTATTTCTGATTGGCTTAATGAACTGACCTGAAGTTTATTATGTGAAGTGCCTTGAGACGACTCTTGTCGTGATTTGGCGTTATATAAATAAAATTGAATTGAACTGAATTGAATTAATCAAGGCCATATGAAAGACAATAATAATAACAACAATAACAACAACAATAATAATAATAATAATAATAATAATAACAGAAATAATAATAATAACAACAGCAACAACAACAATAATAACAATATTAATACTACTAATAATAGAAATAATAGTAATAATAATAATAATACTAACAACAACAACAACAATAATAATAATAATAATAAGAATTATTATTATTATTATTATTATTATGTTTGAAATTGACATCATTAGTAACTGAATTATTATAACATTTATTTTCAAAACAAGCAAAACAGTGTGTTTTTATTTGTGTGAACATTAACAAATTAATCCATGAAAAAATTCTTCATTAAACAGATTTCAGTTAAACTTTCTGGAATTGTAGTGAATGAGACCATTATCTTAAATCATCTGTGGGTTTTATTTCTGCCAGATGACTGGGGTTGAGTAATGTTTCTCTCTATGAATTTTAGTCCCAGACATTACAAGCAATGGAAACATGCCAGGCACACTCATGCTTGCAGCCTCACAAATAAATACACAGACATTCTGCTGGCGCCTTGGTTTAATCCCTCCAGAGCGCATCATACTGGGTGTTTGTACATTCATTCATAGTTGAGTTGATGAGCTGTTTTGACAACATGTCAGAATCTTATTAGACTAATAACTAGATGAGCAGAAAACACACAGGTTGACACATGTGCACTCTCTCTCTCTCTCTCTCTCTCTTTCTCTCTCTCTCTCTCTCTCTCTCTCACACACACACACACACACACACACACACACACACACACACACACACACACACACACACACACACACACACACACACACACACACACACACACACACACACACACACACACACACACACACACACACACACGCTACTGGAGTGACGTCTGCTTCTAATATTGCGCGATTTTTTTATGGTTTCAGGACAGGATTTTGTCAACGCCGAAAAATTTATCCAAATCTCTCCATGAACCTGTCACCTAACAATGACCACGGCTACCTAAGAGCCTTGTCTGTAAAGACATGGAGACTTTACACTATTCCAGTCCTGTGAGGAAAAAAAGGGATAAAGATGTAATATAGAAATTAGCTGAAAGTAGGAGAAGAGAAAGAAACGGAAGGCAAAAGAAATGGCAAAAGAAAAAGATTTGTGCATTTCCAAAGATGTTGCATTGACTTTTACCAAAATTAAATGCAGACCTTAATTAAAACGTGTCTTCATCCTATAAATGGAGATTGGAGAAACAACCCTGTATTGTAGCGGTTTATAAACAGACTCAGAGACATTCTAACATGGGTTACACCAAGCACAAAAAGAATACATATACATACAAATGAATGGAAGAGCGAGGCATGCAAAGTAAATGCCTTCAAGGCATCGGAGTGCATGGTTAAACATAAAATAATTCCCTACTACTTCATTTAGAAGCAACAGACAGACTGGCTAAGTAGAGGAGCCCGGTTAGATTAGCATCACTGGCAGAAGATGAGAAAGCTGAGCAGTTCGAGGTCTCATAAACATCACTGATTTCAGAAAATATGGGTTAAGCAAACTGCAAAGAAAAATACACAAAGGGCAACAAGAATGAGCTGCAAGAAAACAAATGAGGATAATATGTGATGAAGGACAAGAAACAAAGCAGATATGTCAATTGCTGCCCCTGGGATGAGGAGGAGGTGGACATGATGAAAAAGGGGGCTGAGGTCAGCCTACACTGAGATCTCCTCAAATAGCCAGGGGGGATGCCTCTGGATGCAAATAGATATGGAAAATATGGGGAAAAGGAAGTGATGAGAAAGAGCAAAGCAAAGGTTTAAATAACCAAAGGAGAGCAATGCATAAAATAGTAGAGACAAAAATAAAAGCTGGGAAGACAGAGAGAACGTTGCAGAGATTAGGGATTTAAGAACTGATAGGAGGAGGCTTTTGTGCAGTCACAGAGGAGTAAAGGAGAAAAAAGGGTTTTATGCTAAACTATGCAAATAACCAGCTCTGTGACAAGAGCAACAAAAGCTGGGAAAACACAGATGAACACACTGACGGAACTCCAGTTTAAGAAATATAAATACACATTAACACACACTGACATAAACAATGATGGAAACAGGTAAAGCAACTCAACTAAAGGTAGTCTTGGCACACATGGTCATGGAACTCAAGCAAAGATAAATTACAGCCATTTTTTAAAGTTGCGTAACGCTTATGGTGAATTATTTATTATTGTGAACCGAGTGTTGGTTTTACCTGGATAGAGACGCTGCTGAAGGACCCTCCAATGACTCCTGCGATGGCGAGCGGACTGTCGTCCTGCAGAGCGTAGGATCCATCCGGACAGATGAACTCGGTGTCATCTACCTTGGTAAGGGAGGCTCTCACAAACTCCAGAGCCTGGAGGTCACATGCATGTAGATAATTTCTATCTTTCAAAAACAACCTCACTTATGAATGTACATTTGGGTTCAATCATGCCATAATACATTGGTGTCCAGTCATGGTCACCCATTGTGATTCCATCCATCCATCCATCCATCCATCCATCCATCCATCCATCCATCCATCCATCCATCCATCCATCCATCCATTCATCCATCCATCCATCCATCCATCCATCCATCCATTCATCCATCCTCAGGGGGAACCCCAAGGCGTTTCCTGGCCAGCCGAAAACATAGTCCCTCCAGCGTGTCCTGGGTCTTCCTTTGGGCCTCCACCCAGTTGCAAATTGCAAATTACAAAAACAAAACAAAAAACAAACAAACCCAAAAACAAAAAAAAAAAATGGACAGATGGAGCACAAGACTGACATGCGGATTGGTGCTGCATCTGCAGTGGTGTGGGAGTTGTACCAAACTGTTGTAGCGATAAGAGAGCTGAGCCGGCAAAGCTCACAATTTACAGGTTGACCTACCAACCCTCACCTATGGTCACGAGCTTTGGGTAGTGACCCAAAGAATGAGATTATGGATACAAGCGACCAAAATGAGTTTTCTACGCAGGGTGGCTGGGCTCTCCCTTAGAGATAGGGTGAGAAGCTCGGTCGTACGGGAGGGGGTTGGAGTAGACTCGCTGCTACTCCACATTGAAAGGAGCCAGTTGAGGTGGCTTGGGCATCTAGTCAGGATGCCTCCTGGACGCCTCCCTGGTAAGGTTTTCTGGGCACGTCCAACCAGGATGAGACTTAAAGGAAGACCCAGGAAACGCTGGAGGGACTATGTCTCTCAGCTGGCCAGGGAACGCCTTTGGATTCCCCCAGAGAAGCTGGCCCAAGGGGCTGGGGAGAGGGAAGTCTGGACCTCTCTGCTTAGGCTGCTGCCCCTCCGACCCAACCCCAGATAAGCAGGCGAAAATGTCTGGGTGGATGAAAAAAACAAAAAAAAAAAACCAAGATGCAAACCAGATGCAGACCCACCTCAACTGGCTTGTCTCGATCAAATGCAACTATCCACCTTTTTTTTTGTTTCCCTGCTTTAACAAACACGGTTCAGTGGTTGAATTTCAAGTTTTGCAGAAGTCTGCTAATCATCCATGGGTACAAAACAGGTGTGTTGGAGCAGAGAAACATGTAAAACATGCTGAATAGTGATGTTTGAGGACCAAGACACGACCTTATTGCTTTAATATCAAGCCCATTGAAAACCAAATCTCCATTAATCTTTATGCTATGTTTTCTTTTAGAAATTTTCTTCAATCTCTCTTTCTTCAAATTTTCTCATAAAATATTTGCTTTAATTATTAGTGTAAAATTCCTCAACATAACTGATAAATTGTGCAGATTTACCTGACTTTTACATGCCAGTAAGACCCACTGATTAAGAAACCATGGTGAATGGTGATGTTGCTAAAAAGTTTCATCAGCATTCTGATCTAAATGCCAAAAGTGAAACATCCACAGCCAACATTCACAATGTGATCAGAGTATTAATCAGTTAGAACCCTGAATAGGATTTGATGAAAGACTCTTACTGAAACCTCTCTTGTCTAGTGTTCACTCACCTGCTCGAGTGCATACGTATCTCTGGAGCAGGTGTCTAAGATGTGGACGCCCAGTGAGACACCCGGAAGCAAACTGTTGTCATTGTTGATTCTATCTATGGCAAACAGCATGGCCTCCAGCCTCTGAATCCCTCTGTCTTCATTCACACGTCCACACTCCTCCATTCCACTACCCTTCTCATGCACTGGAAACAATCCGCCTAGGACTAGGTCACCCTCAATGCGGATCTCGCGGCGTGATTGAGGAGGTTCTGTGAGGAAAGCGCCTTGAAACATCATGACCAAGATTAGAGAAGAGAGCCAGGGCACCATGTTGGGCTCCAGGAGAGTAGAGGCTGTCAGAATGTGAAAAGAGATCCAAAGGCGAGTGAGGGGCTGAGGGTCAAGGTTAGGGGCGAGGGGTGAAGAGTGAGGCGCTCAGAGTGAGTTGGGGTCGAGTTGAGCGGCAGCCGTAGATGTTTGGGTCTGTTTGTGGCCCATGAAACAGTCAGGCAGCGCTGAACTGGACCACACACGGAGGAGCAAAACATCTGGGCATCAGTTCTCCTTAAAGGTAAAATAAAGGACAGGGAGGGAAGAAATAAAACACATTCTACAAAACATTGGACAAATCACAAAGCTGTCAGGACGTGCACTTTAAAATCCTTTTGTGTTTGCACTATGAAGTGTAGCAGACCTTTATTGGAGTTTGGGGACATTGTTAACAAGGACTCAAAGTCATTTCTGCTTCACAGCAAAAGCCCAGCTACAAGAGTTACAGAATTGTTCCGAGATTCCTCTCCACCCTTCCTTCTTCGAACCCTCCACAAACATCACTCAGCAAACTTTTTTTATATTGTGTGTATGTGTGTGTATGAGCCCTATAGTTGTAACAGGGTAAGCAGCTTAGACGGCTGGTTGATACTTGAGCTCAGCCTTCTTTTGCCGCAGATCAGAAGAGCTCCTCTAATCTGATCTCCCTCCCAACGTTCCCATGTTTGTTCACCAGTTTATTCCTCTACACACATGTGTGTACTCTGTGTTATCATTCTTATGGCTTCTACTCCTCTCCGCCACATAATTAGAGTGTGATGACTGAATGGATTTCACCATGAAAGACGCTATCTGACAACAATGAAGCCAGCAGAAGCTGATGCTGCCGATTACAACTTATAACTCAATTATAGATGTGTTATGGCTGTTTTCTTTTTCTGAAGCATTCACTATCTCCACTTTGGTCAACGATGGTCTGACATACTATACAAAAGGAGATCAATTCAAAGATTCACTCAACAGGTGATTTTACAATTGACTTAATTATTGATAGCACTTTGCATGTTACATAATGTCTTCTGTAGCTCCAGGGGGAGAATTTTTGAGGATTTAGCAAGAACCTTGGATTACTAAGTGGGGCATGGATTTACCAGGGAAAAAAGAAAGATTCATGAATGAAAGTGTTTTTGAATAAATTAACTGCACTATTGTTCAATTCTCATTTACACATTTGTGACATCACAAATGAGGGACTTTTTGAAACAGCTTGTTTTAGATACTCAACCTAACACAGACAGAAATGGATGGAAACTTTTACTTCATACTTGGAGAGTTTATAGTGGCAGTACAGACCCACATGGCAGCACAAAAGGATGAAAAAGGTGAGTTTTGCACAATATGTCACCTTTAAGTAAATAAAGTCACCATTGTTTTGGAGGAGAATCTAGCCAGGCTGAAAATACTCTTCCTTTGTACTATGATGCCAATACTGATGTTACTGCCACATACTGGCTTGACATGGTTATTTTAGCAGTTGTTTTACATTTTTGTTTTAATTCATTCATTAACTCATTCATTCATTCAGACTCTCAGAAAGAGGGGATACAGCTGTTTAAAAATATCCAGAGCAGTACATTAACGGTCCCAGTGCAGACATGATGCAAGCTGGGAGTGAAACTCCAGTTGATTGCTGGCCTGTGTGTGTGTGTGTGTGTGCTCCTGGAGCATTGACTTGTGTGTGTTTGTCAGTGTGAATGTGCATCTGTGTAAGAGAGAGTGCAGTCAAGTATGTTTCTGCTTTTTGGTGGGCTAGTAGGAGGATGAAAGCTTCCCTTAGATGCACACAGCTCCGATTTTTCTGCAAGCAGCTGCCATATTTTCACCACTCTGCTCTGTAATACGGCACACAGAAAAACACACACAGACACACCCACTCAATACACACTGATCTACACACATAAACTCTGCACTTCTGAGGGGGGTGAACCTAAAAACAGACTTCCATGATTTTGCTTCATTCTCTCCCAACTAATGGTAATGTGAGCAAGTTCAGGAAACAGAGTGCACAGATTATGTGTTAAAGTCCCATAGTCATCTAGCCTGGCCTGCCAGACTCCTCTGTTTAATTCTGCACAGAGAAAGGGTCTGGAAACACTCCTATTCAAATATCCCCACCCCGTGAGAATTCTAACCAAGCCAATCAGTGCTGAGCAGCGTACGTCACACACCATAACGCCGAGTTTGTCATAAACATGGCGGCTGAAGCGGAGTTCGCGGCTGCTCTTTCCTTTGTTCAAATGACTTGGACACGTCTTTAAAACACGTAGAAGCGCTAAAAGCCTTTCTTCTGAAACTAAATAAATAAAAAATAAGATGTTTGCACTGTCGCCAGATGCCATTTTTGACTACAGCTAAAAAAAACTACAGCATCGTGGACGTCACACACAGCGACGCTGAGTTTCTCATAAACAACGAAGACAGCGGCGGAGTTTGCTGCAGCTCGTTCCTCTGATCTAAATGACTTCAATGTCTTTAAAACCACAATAAGTAGAAGCGCTAAAAGCATTTCTTCTAAAAAAAAAAAAAAAAAAAAGATGTTTGCGCCGTTGCCAGACGGCATTTTTGACTACAGCTAACCCCCCAATCCAACCCCTTAAGGCTAAGGGGTGATTCATGCTTCTCCGTCTGCGTCAGTGCGGAGACACGCAACGTCCCTGCGGGCCTGCCGGAGAGCTCCGCAAGGACGGACGGAGTCGAGCTCTCTTTTCTACACATCCGTCAGTCGAGACAGACAACGCAAGCTTGTGATTGGTCAGGACGCCGCTGTTGTCTACAGCGCCGCCATTCCGCCCTCAAAAACATTAAGAGAGCCGAGGATAAAGCCGCAGACATGGAGAAGCTTTATTTATTTATTTATTTTTACTGTGTCCTGTCTGGCTGTGAAGCAAGCAGAATTGATGTCTGAATGCTGGTAACAAGCCTTACAGATTTACTCTCAGGTGGAGCATCAAAGCGTTTGCTTTTAATGCCACGCCTGATAATTAAAACTTTATTGTTATTGTTGTTGAATGCTTTGTAATTCCGACCAGACACGGAGACAGAGGTGAAAGAGAAAGGAAAAGAATAGGTGGGGAGAGAGAGAGAGGGGGGGGGGGGGGGGGGGGGGGTCCACAAAAATAAACAATGAACAAGAGTCTGCTTCTAGACCTGCAGAAAAAGACAAAAAAAGCAAAAGGACAAAAAAAGGGACACAACAACAATACAACAAGATCTAGCTATCACTGCGTCAACTTGATGAAAAAATACATGATCAACATTGCTTAACTGAAGAATCATGATAATAAATCACAGTGCATTAAGTGCCCACCATAGTCTTAAGACATGTGTTGAACGTGCCCAAGCCCATACTTTTGAGAGCACCATGTGAGCACCTGTGTGTGTACACGTGCTTGTTTATTTAAGGTTTCTCTATAGGAGCGTCCAACAAAGAGTGTGAGGGACCCCAGATCCGCTCCCCAAAGATGTGTAGGAGACGGGGAGCTCCATGTCCCAGAGATCCAGGCGCTGCCCCAGAACACAGGAACCCCAAGGAGACTGCAACCAGGAAGGCCCCCGCCCCCCTCGAGAGGCACAGAGGATCGCCCCGGGGCGCCACAACCAGCAGCCGGCAGAGTCCCGGGAGACATCAGCGGCAATCCCACAGGCCCGCGCGCAGCCTCCCACCCCCTAGCTGGCCGAACCCGGAACCAAGCAACCCGGGACCCAGGGGCGACCACCCCCGCCGTGGACCCAGCAGAGCCTAGGGACCCAGACCCCACCAGGCAGCCACCGGGATCTATCCGGCAGATGCCAAAATCTTAAACCCCCAGACCTGGTTGCCACGAACACTCAGGCAGACCAAGGCACAACCCCTCACACCAGGTGTGACAGGGGGAGGGGGGACGAAGATCTATTTCATCAAGATAAGTTCCAGGAGAGGGGAGGAGTCAAAGGCCCCACCTGACATATACAGTCATACACAAACACAGTCACACACACACTCCCTCCCTCATGCTGACATGAGACATGGAGAAGCTTGAAGAATACCTTGCAAAAAAACTCTAAAAACATGAACGTTTAATTCCCCCGTGACTGGAGGAGTGAAAAGATGCGCAGCAAGCGTTTTATTTGTGGACGGAAATGACAGGAAACGTGGGTTTAGAGGTGGCGAGCGCAAGAAGAGGTGGAGGAGGATGAGACAAATTTGTCTGTGTTAAAAAGTCTCTCAAATACAAAAAAAAACACAATATAAACACACTATCTTGGACCGGATACATGACAGGATACCACAGAACAGCGCTACGCCCTCTGTTGTCCTGCCGGGCAATTGCTTTGCAACACTCTCCAGGAGATGGAGAAGTATGAGAGCAAAACGCTTCTGTCAATCCGTGCATGTCTGTCCCTTGTGGAGCTGACGGAGAAGCATAAACCAGGCTTAAGTGTCAAGCAGGGAGGTCTTGGGTCCCATTTGTAAAGTTTTTGGTATGACCCAGGCCAGGATTTGAACCCTGATCTTCCAGTCCCAGGACAGACACTCTACCACTAGGCCACTGATAAAAGTCAGAATCCTGGGCTGAATAAAATATCATTTGTAAACATAAAAATATTTCTAATATATTTTATCATATGTATTACTGAAAGGTAGAGCCCTCAGATGGGCTGAAGCTAATGCCAGTAATTTTCGTAGCTTCTACTCTTTTAATTTGTTAAGCTAAAGCAAACCCTTGGCCAAGTAACCAGCTGTACCACTTACTCCAGTGCATTACGGCAAGCCCAACCATGCAATAAGTCTGTTTCCATTTCCAGACTTTAGCTGCATCCAGGGCTGGACTGGGACAAAAATTCAGCCCGGGCATTTTGACTGGAGACCGGCCCATCACCTGTTTTTTTTTGGAAAAGACATTAAGCCTTATGCTGTTTCTGACACACACCAACGTACACTTTCTTATTGGTAGTATTTATGTATCAATCTAATAAACGTAAACCTACACCATCCTTCCTATCCTGGTATTCTAAAAAGTAGGGTTGGGGGTAACTGATTATTTTTTAAATGATTATTCTGACGATTATTTTATCGAATAGTCGACTATTCTAATGACTATTTAGATGATTAATCTAGCGATTACTTTTCTATTGCACAATTAATAAAAACCAAAAAATTCTCAAATAAATTCCTCCAAAAAATTGATAAGTTGTTACTGTAAGAGAATAAACACTACAGGCCTTCCATTTTGTATAACACTGCTTTTATTGTG